ATATTTAATCATGGATCTGGCGGGTTAACTGTAGATGATTCCACTCAAACGAACAACTGATCACCATGACTACTGATGTTCTGTCGAGTCTTTCTATCATTATCACTCGATACTGGTGTCTCCACCATAAAATGCGTCCATGTGGGTGCTCGTCACACGTGGTGTGTCGCTAACATGTACGCCACGCCATCGTATATCAACAGGATCCCAGACGCTCAGTGAAACTAAAAACAAGCTGAGCTCAATACCTGCCCATTTTGCTTTGTCACAGGTTATTTTGCCCATCATCACTTGAAGTCAATGAAAGTCATGAATGTTCCACAGGGTGTGGTTTCCACATCACAGCAGTCTGCATCCTATGTGGACGATTAGGAAGGGCTGCACGATTACAGCCAACACAGTTCAACATTGAGATCATAATAATTTGTCACAACCTTTCATTGACTGCAGTGACAACATGTTTTTATTTCAATATCATGAAAACACAACAGTGCTTTTACATCTGTACTTTATGTAGAAACATTATATTTCCAAAATTATTCACCCACACATTATATTCCAAGTGCAAAACTAACCCGGAGACTATCCACCACATAGTAGCAAGAACTCAGATGGAGGCTGAAGCAGCATACACTCAGAAGCGACTGTCAAACTCCTGATTTATGGTAAGGTTGGGGTCATCACTGACGAAGTCTTCTCCTCATGGGATTAAAAGAGAAATTTGTTTTAAAAAACAAAGGGCATCCATATGGATAGACACTTTCAGCGATTGCCCAACACTGAATAGCACGGAAACTGTCAAAATAAGAAAACTGTGGCACTAAGTTGGCAGTGTGGCAGGCTCACAGCTAAATTTAGCAGGTAAACTATGCAAACAGAGCCTGGAATGTCAACTAGCAACCAACTACACTGACATAGCTAAAGGCCATGTCATACGTAAGGAATTTCTGTTTCGATTTAGTTTCAGGTTTGATTTTCATTCATAATCACTACTTTCAGGTGGATAAACAAGGTTACACTGTTTGAAAACACCATATTGTTCTCAGTATGTACTTCCTTATACACCAACAAGTAGATGTAGGCCTGTCAAAACAGCCTTATTGTGTTGCTCTCTAATGATTAGTCAGAGTATTTTCTGTCTCAACGTGTACCTTTGGTGGTTAGGGAAAAATTTAACCAAAAAAATTGAGAAATAAAAGTACAAAGGAAGGAGGTATTTCTTGTAGTGCTCTTTGGTACATTGCAGTGGAGTGAGTGGTTTGCTGAACCTGCTTCTGCGTGAGATGAGGCATGTGTGACGGAGATTCAAGCTCCAAACCCATACATAACCTCACTGACTTATAAATCACTTTCTTTAGTCTTTTAGTATTTGATGCCCCTGTGCACCCCGCCATAGAGCACAGCACTGAACCCCAGACACATAAAAGTCCTGTTTATTGTCATACATCTGTACGTCTGTATTGTATGAGTGATTTGGTTCTCCTGATGTTCACAAACCAGTTTTCCTGTTATTTCTAGTAATTAGATTTTTAAAAATCTATATGGTGCTGAAGTAATTGAATCCCTAATTTTAAAAATTGTTTAAAAGTCTTCTCATTAAAAGGCTTTTCATGGTGATTTTCCCACTGAGGAAAGGACAAAACTTCTTTGCGGAGGGCACCAAATTTGTTTGCATGCAAACAAAATTAAAGTACATTTTACTGCTTTCAGTAAAATTCAACTTTTATTTTCTGTCTCCTGCTGCTGGCTTGAATGCCCCATATTTGGAGTGTAGACACTTTTATTAAGTCTTCATTACATGGATGACGTTATTACCAGTCATGGCTGACCATAAACTTAAAGGTTACAGTGGTGGTCAGACTAGTTCCTGTACATTATTGTGGGGCTGGCGTGCAGCTCATTTGATAGTCAAATATTTTTGGTTGGGCTTTTAATGCTTTTCCAGCTGAGTCTAAACATAGTAAACGCCCAAACAGGGCACCTAAGATCTAATTCATTTGCAAACAGAAATGGAAATCATCCTAACAGAAGACCAAAAGTACAATTTTGAAACAATAAAGGTCTTAAATATGAACTGTGTGGCACCCATCAGTATAAATGCAGACTTTATAAATGACTTTTAAAATAATGTTGAGCTTTAAAAACAGCACGCTGCTGTAGTGAACTATTTACCTTAAAGTGTTCACTCTTTAACTTTAGTTAAACAGTTGATTAAAAGTGAGAATAACCTTTGGAACTAAAGGGTCTAATGTCAATCTCATTTGTATGCTCTGTTACACACTACATAGCAGATCTATATGAGTGGGACAGACTACAAAAAAACTCAAATTATTATTACTCAGTATTAATAATAACTTGGATGTTCATATATGTGCTTTGTTCACAACAGACACTGTTCACTAACCTAATTTCCATGTATCATAAATTAGTGATGCACCAACCCTGTTGGTCATTTGATACCTCAACTCAGAATATCTGCCAATAAAACCATGTTCCAGAGCAATCTTTCTTTATCCTTTATTTCTAATGGTTTTTTTTAAAAAAGGCAAAATGCCACAAAACCAATCTCATCACAAAACCTCACAACACTTTAGTAATCTGAATGATTCCTATAAAAGCCATGGATTACTGTTGGCTGCTACTAGCCTATTAGTCACACATAGCTAACAATAATCAACTGGCAATAACATTGATGTGTGTGCGTGTGTGTGTGTGTGTGGGGGGGGGGGTGTGTGTGCGCGTGTGTATGTGTGTGTGTGTGAATGTGTAAAAATATTACTAGTATTATAAATCAGCAATGTCCTACCTGATACTCAATGGGACATTAATAGGATTGTGTAAATACATATAGTGCCTGAATGCAGCATGAAGCTGAACTCGGATTAAAGTAAAGTGAAACAGGTGGCAGCTCTGGCAATAACCTTCTTCAAATACAATAAAGGTGTAGATGACCAACTGTGGTTGGTTTGTGATTGTCTCCAAGGTATGTGTATCATACATAAACACTGATAACAATTCCAAAGAGCCCTCATTTCTCCCCAGAAATGATACTTTGATGAGCTCTGGGCTCTCACTCAAGTGAGAACTCACTGTAAAATCAGGTCACTTACACAAACACGAAGAACAATTAAAATTACAGGCAGGAGTGACTAAAACGCCCACTCTCCACCTGAACTCCAACTTCTATTAAGCTAAAAGCACAGTTTGGTCTTATAACACTCAAAAAGGCCACACTTCACTCATATGTAAATGTAACAATGTAGCAACTATAGAAACTCGGAAAATGCCACCAACATCATTATATGTTGGCAGGTGAAGGATAACAGACCAGCTACTGAATCTCTGAATAGTCTGTTTGACTCTTTATGTTTTATACATCTTTCTGACATATTTTTCTAACACATACACAGACTATTTCCGAAAGTTATTAATTGTGAGTGCTACTGAAGCCTGGAAAATAGGGGCTCTGAGATACAGTATTCAATAAAAACAGAAAGTCCACAGAGCAACCAACCAGTGTCACCACTTTATTTCACCGAAGAGCCGAAAGTTGGTAACGGCTGGCTGGCAGTATTACTCACCGCCTCCTAAGCCTAGCAGCCGGCAGATATCTCTGGTGAACTTCATGAGCTTTTACCGTCCACACATTAGCGGGCCTCACTCGGCATTAAATCCCAGCTGTCCCTCTGTACACAGTCACACACTTCCACCCTTCATTAAGCGCCGACAGCTCGCCGGTGCCAGTACCGGCTCATATGAAACATTCCCCGCTGATCCGCCTCCGATTGTACTGTCATCAAGCTAACTGGGTTACAGCAAAACACTCTTCCGGTTATTGCTTTCAACAATAAAATAGGAAAAACGGCTTCCTTACCACACCCATCAAAATAAAACCGCGGGAGCGTTAACATCGGTCTTTTCATAATTTTCCTAAAGGCTTGACATCAAACTGCGAGATTTACACGTTGAAAAGAACAGAAAACAATATAATATTTAAAGATCAATAAATTGTAAAACTACAATTATTTTCTTGTGGGTTTTGTTTAATGTTTTGTCAATAATTTTTTTTGAAGAAGTCACTTGGATGAGTGACGAAACGTTTCTCCCAGAAAACGCTATGTCCAGATGAACAGAATCAACTTTTGGAGGTCAATAATTTTGTTTTACTTGCATCTTAGATTTATTTATTTCATTCTGTTAACTGTTCCAGCATTTAACTATAATTCCCTATGAGGGTTTAATTCTGAATAAACTATACTTTTTTTTACATGTATTAATTTCAACTGAAGATTAACTGAAGATTAAAAATATTAAATCCTGTAGTAAAGCAATCAACAGGGAATATGAAAGGAGCATATACAAATGACATAGTGATTCACATCAAATGCCTCTCAACACATTTTCTACTGTGTCATAAGCACCAAATTTTGCTTATAAGACAGCAAATTTAAATATGTACTCATTTGGTTTTCTTTCTTCTTTTTAAATGCAGTTTAAGCCGTTTGAAGCCCAGTAAAAACAATGGTTTTTTTTCCCGATAAAGTGAACAGTCGGTCATTCCAGTTCAGTTTGTAAAAAAAAACAATGTATTTGAGGGTTAACTTGAGCAGATGTGAAATGTAACAATGAGGTCAGAGGTCAAATGTGACATGATATTTGGATGTTTAGAATACCCGTACCATTTACTAAAAGGAAGTATACAATAAGAAGCTGTAGCAGAAAAACAAATAGTGAAACTTAACTTATTAGAAATTTTAATATTTTGTTATGGTTTAATTAATTCATTAAATGTGATGTGGTGATGGGGAAGCATGGTGTGTGATGTGTGTGATGTGGTGATGGGGGGAGGGGCTGCACTTGCCTCTAATCTGCTGGCATATACATCCGTCCAATCCCCGCGTTCTGTAATGCTGAAAGACAGCAGGCTGAACCAATAAAACGTCGCTTTAGCAGAGCTTTCAACCAATCATCGACAGCAGCGACTGATTTGGGCGGGTCCCTAACAGAAGCGACAGACTGGCTCAGCGGCCATTGAAGCATCTTTATCTTCATAAGGACAAGCAGAGATTTTTTTGTACATCTGCGGGGTCCTGCGGACTGAAGCCATGGTCTATCATTCTCTCGCCCTGCCGATGATCTGCTTCACCACGTTATGGGCGTTGGTGGGGGTCGTAGCTCCGTTTTTAGTGCCCAAAGGACCCAATCGGGGGTAGGTGGTGTAACTGCTTTTAATTGGATACAATTAACGACATCATTTTGCGTTCCCTTTCATTTGACAGTGTTATTATTATACTTTGTAACTATAATTGTATTTTTTTTGCTGTTAGTGTTTTCGCTGTGTCGGTCGGAAAGAATCTTTAGACATATGCGACGCGCGCGAGCGTGCTCCTGATCCTCTTCTGGTGATGGAGGCCCAGCGTCATCCACGAAACAGTCATTCAGCTATCCCTCCATACACACACATACACACACACACACACACACACACACACTACTAGTAATTTCAAAGGTCGAGTCGGCAGGGATAATGTGGGCTCGTTTGGACAAAAGTCATTCTGATGGTTTTATTTGTAAAAAGCAGAGTACGGGGAAGATTGTAAGTCGTGGAATCAGGGCCAGTCTCCTTGAAAAACTGCGTGTTTACAATATTTCTATCGTTTGTGCATTAATGTCCAGTATTGCTCAGTATGTGACTCGGGATCTAATATTACAGTTTTTTACAGACGCTAGGACACATTTCTCAATACTTAGGTCACTTTTGCAAAACTCCTCACACAGTGAGCACAACAGAAGTCTATGTGGGCTAAACTGTGGATCAGTTATCATTGTTTTGGCACAAAATGCATTCAATGACTACATCTCTCAAATTTCATGAATTATTTTCTCACTCAGACACAACAACTGCCAAAAATCTTTGTACAGGACATTTTGCATGTACTTACATACTGTTTTCAAAACTGTTAAACTTATGGTCAAAACAATAACATAATGCAAAACTGAATAAGACAGCAAAATTCAACAGCAATATTTTATTGAAACATATTTTAAATCTAAAAATGCAGTTTAACCAGCTGATTCTCATTGTAGATGAACATCTACACAGGTGTTACTCCTTCAATTTCATTACAAAAGGAGACAACTGCTGAATAGGTTTGTTTTGTGATGTAAACATGGACCCAGCCAGAAATGGAGTCTCTTTTCCTCCCACCTTACTCTCCATTCCTCAACCCCATAGAGGAATTCTTTTCCTCATGGCGGTGGAAGGTTTACGACCATCATCCACATGATCAAATGTCCCTCCTGGATGCAAAGAATGCTGGATGCCTGGAGATATCAGCAGAAGATTGCCAGGGATGGACAGGCATTCCAGAAGATTCTTTCCTAGGTGTATTGCCCTAGATGACATAAGATGTGATGTGGATGAGAACCTGTGGCCAAATGGAGAAGACCGAGTAGATTAGCATTACTATTGTATGTGTATCAGTGGATGGTGTGTATACAAATTCTTGTATTTTGGGATTACTTAGTGCAAAAAAATAAAAATACATAAACAAATATTAACGAATTCTCCATGATGTCTGATTCATTCCAGTAACATATATTGAAATTATAAACAGAGATGTGTCCTTGTTTTACACAAGAAAACACTGTGTAATGCTCCATGTTGTTAGTGTTTTTTAGGTCATTGTTTTGTGGGTGACAAAGTGTGTTTGTCAGCTGTCAACCTTTGCTAGTGTTCTGGAAGAATGAGTTTATTTGAGACTTGAATAAAGTGTTTTGGTAGTTGTACTGCATTTTGAATGTGAAATGAACTGCTTTGCCAAGCTGAAGGTCAGTTAGGAGAATTGTGTGAAGAGTTTTGCAAAAGTGACCTAAGTATTGAGAAATGTGTCCTAGCAGCTGTAAAAAAAACTGTAATAATGTTTGCTTATGAATGTTATAATAGTAAAAGTGGGCACGTGTGACTCTGACTCCTCTGCTCTCTCTGACAGTGTGATTGTCACCAGTCTGATCCTTACAGCGATCTGTTGCTACTTGTTGTAAGTACCTACTTGCTTACTCTTCTTTGGTATGTAGCTGTTGTCATTTTGCATGTTGGCCACTTTGTTAAGTACACCTGCTCAAGGGCTCATTAATGCAGGGATCTAATCATCTAATCACATTCGAGCGACTTAAAGAATTTAGGTATGTAGACTCCTTGCTGAAGCTCAAACTGATAAGATATATCTGAGAATAGATAAGAAAGGTGATTGAAATATAACTTTGAATGGGGAATGCCTGTTGGTGCCAAGCAATGGTGATCCAGTGAGCAGCAGTAACCTGGGCTAAAATGCCTTGTTGATGCCAGAGATGAGAGGAGAATGGCCAGACTGCTTTAAGCTGATAGGAAGGCAACAGTAACTCAAATAACCACTTGTTACAACTGAGGTGTGCAGAAGCATCTCTTAGCACGCAACACTTTGAAGCTTCAAGCCGATGGATTACAGCAGCAGAAGACCACACCGTTACCACTCCTGCTCTTTTATTTAGCACAAACTCACAAAACATTTTCAAAGGAAGACTGTAAAAACAATGTCTGGTCTAATGAGTCTTAGATTCTGTTGCAGCCTTTGGTTGGTCTGGTCAGAATTTGGCGTAAGGAACGTGAAAGCATGGCTCCACCATGCCTTGTGTCCCCAGTTCAAGTTAGCTGTCGTGTAATGATTTGGGGAAATGGCTTCTGCTACACGCTGGAGCTCAAATCGTCTCAAACTCTTGAACATGACAGTGAGTTGACTGAACTCCAATGGCCTCCACAGTCACCAGATATTAATCCAACAGAGCACCTTTGAGATTTGGAGAGCGAAAGATAGAGATTGTTAGTGAGGTGTAACTAATAAAGGGT